TAATTTATATTTTCAGTCTTCTCTACATACTCAGTTACATTCTCAGTTACATGCAGTGTTTTATTCTTCTTCTTCTTTAAAACTACTTCACTCAGAGGAAAATGTACCCCCGTCCTCTTCTTCCTTTCGCTCTCACATTCATACTCTGTATTTCTCTAACATTGTGAAAGCATTTTGCTTTTCGAACACTAAGTCATTAGTTTTGAAACGAAGTAAAATAGAATTTTTTCATTTCATAAAATGAAATATGAAATGAAAATCATCTGCTACTGTTATTTCATTTATTCCCAAGTTATTATATCTTAACACATTGAATATTTTAAATCTCCTCTGTAGCTAGTTCTTTTTGTGTTTGAAACGTAGCTTTTTTTCCTGACACTACTTTTTTTTCTATTATTTATCATTATACTTTCGAAGGTTCACTTATTCTTTGACGTAAAATACAGAACAATGTGACGACGAGAGAATGAAGGAATGAACTTTTTTAATTTTTTTCCTTCTATGCCATAGATTTTTATCGTTTTCGGTTTGAGATTGTAAATAAAAAGTTTATTTTGCATGTTGCATGACGTTGTCAAAAGTACCATAAAGAGAAGAAAATGTAACGGTGTCAGTAGACTAGAGCGATTTGGATTTGTTCTCGTTAAAAAGACTGTATATTTAAGTAAAGACGTTCAGAACTTGGACGAAAGATTTCAAGAATGGCCAGTAAGAAATATAAAAGTAAAAGCAAGTCAAAAGGCAAAACGCATGAATATTATGCCGAAAATAATTCAGAGTCTGAATTAGATCGTGAATTATCAGAACTAAACAGGTCCGTACCACAAAACGTTGAAAATCGTTTACACATAGAAACCGAATTAGAATATAAAACTGAATCCAGTCATCCAACAGAGCAAGGTAATAATTATAAAACGACAGAAAAAATGGCAAAATGGCTATCATCAAAGAAAGTATCTTTTCCTTCTGCAACGACACCACTACCACCCATAACCACCAAATTCAATCTTTCAACGATTGCTTTATTTGATATGCAAAACTTTAAAGTAAGTTGTTTCATTTCAACATGTTATCATTGTAACGGTGCGAGAAAAATTGAATTTTATAATCATGCAAAAAAAAAGCACGTCACTATAAATTCGCCGATCACGTAAACGGATGATTTTCTGTTGTTCCTATGTTGTAATGATAGCTTCTCCGACTAACCCCCCCATAATAGAAGACCATCCCCTAATAGAAGGCCATCCCCTATTAGAAAGCCACTGCCGATTATATGACTTGAAAGCCAAATAGAAGACCATGGTCTTCTATTATGTCCACGAAAAAAATCCGAAAATGTCCTATATACGGGAAAAAATGTCTCCAAAATGTACTTTTAATAGGGGATGGAGCTCAAGTACGTGAGGTTACTGTCGGACTACCAGCAGGCGACAAAAATTTGACCACAATAGAAGACCACCCTTTAGAACTCGACTTGCGGGACAAATGAAGACCAGATGGTCTTCTATTATGGAGGGGAGTTTAGTCTTCGTGGTTTTCCTGAACGCTAGTACGTGGTTAGTGAAGCGTGTATCAAGTAATTGAGCAAAAAAACTCTGCGTCCGGCTAATCTTCTGGCTAGAGCTGCAATCGATAATTAGTAACGAGATGGGTGACCATTTCAGAAGCTTGTCAGCTGCAGGGAAGATATCAGGTAAAGACGGGCACGGATACATTTTGTACCCGTACCCGACCCCAAAAATTTTTTTCCACCCGTACCTGATCCGATCCGACAACTTTGTACTCGTACCCGACCCGATCTGAGAACTTTGTACCCGTACCTGACCCGTACCCGACTTATGTCTAAAAAATTTTCTACTTTTTGTTTTCCAGCTAAAAAGTTTTGTTTTTCGGCTGAAAGTGTCAAATTACCATTACGTTTCTCAAGTAATTCTTTTTAAACCTTCATGTATTTTAGCTACACTCCTGTATTCTTTCACTAAAATTTTGTGGGTTTTAGGGTAAATTAAAAAAAATAGAACCCGTATCCGAGCCGCACCCGTCAAATTCGTAGTCGTACCCAACCTTCGGGTCGGGTTGCACATCTCTAATATCGGGCTATCAAAACTATCACGGCAGTACCTTATAACGGTAACGGTAGCTGCAAGACGAGGTTTTCTTCATTCTTCTTCTTTCTTTTGTTCTGCTAGAAGTAAATGGAACCTGCCATTCAGTTCGATGATTTTCGTCTACTGTAGTAGTAACTGTCATCCAGTAAATAGCTGGAAGTCGTCAGAACAAAAGAAAATCATCCGCTTATCTATTTCACAAATACACTGTATAGGTTGAAATTTTAAATCGTTATTGAAATATTAGAAGAATTACGTTCAAATGAAAGTTTACATTTTCGCTATTGATTGAAAAATGCTAACTTTTGCCAAAAATGCTAACTTTTGCCAAAAACTGCTGGTCGCTAGCCATTTGTGGAAGCTGAAAAATCATCATTTTGCACCTTTTTTTGAGCAACTTTTAAGGCTTCCGCTGTCTCTCCTTCCAATGATAAACTAACATTCTTTTTACTTGAAAGAGTAACTCACAGTCTGTCAGCTTTGAAAAATTAAAGTTTGTTTAATGGAGGGAGCTGGAGAGAAGCGTAGCCAAAAATCCCTTGATTTTTTAAATTTACTGAAAAAAAGTCGAAGACTTCGACTACTGAACGATGTTTCGTTTAGTGGCTATAAGTTTTCTAAGTTGCTCATTAAACATTTAGGGTTAGAAAGTGATTAAAAGTTTGTGATTGGTAGAAAAACTCGAAAACTGACAATCGCTCAGGCTCACAAGTCGAATTGTTTGCTCTAGCTATTCCACATACCAAAAACTGTCAAGTGCGTCTGATTTTCTGAGATAGCAAGGGGTTTTTGAAGACGCTTCTCTCAAGCTCCATCCATCAAACAAACTTTTTTCGAAATAAAGTTGGTGTGATCATGGTACGTTTCACACGGATTCGTCCAAGAGTTATTTGAGTATATGGTTATATCGAAGGTCGAAGAAGTTAGAAGAGATAGAAAAGAATCGATGAGAACGATGAAAAGACAATTTACTTTAACTTGAGTGTGAGAAAACAAAACTTTAAGATAGAAAAATTCATTTTGCTCTTTTACGTTTCTAAAAAAAATTCATTGCACTTTTTCTTGTCCCTCTTGTTTGTTGATCATACTAGCAAAAGAATCAAATATTTGTTTGAAAATGGATCAGAGGCACAAATCAAGCCGACTTACTCCACATTGATTCGATCAGAAAATTACCTAGTTTCACTTTCCAGTAGCTCCTCTATCCAATAGTGAAAATCGCATCGTCCTAGCTCGTTCCGTAAAAAATTATTTTAAAAATGCCGGGGATCCTTCTGTTTATGTACAGATAAGTAGCGTTTCCAGTAAAACGTTTATTTCGAACAGAAATTTCATTTCTCTAAATTAATTTTGTAGCATTTCTTGTAAAGAAGTTAGTTTTCTACAAGATGCACTATAGTATATTAACATAGGATCTTCGTAATAGATCGAAAATCGCTAAACAATGAGTATAACAAGAGTTAGTATTTTTATAAGGCAACAAAATATTTGGCCAGTAAAAAAATATATAAATGATCAGTTATAAAGATTAAATGGTCAGTACTTAAATTATCAGTAATTAATAATAAAATGATAAGTTTATTATACATAATTAGCAGTAAAAACATACAGTTTATACCAGTAAAACATACAAATTTGATCATTAATTCATTTTAATTAGTTTATTGAAAATTTAGATTTTATCATCAGAAAAATAAGTTTTATCCGTTTAAAGTATAGTTTGAATAAACTGCGATTTGAATGAAGAATGAATAAAAAAAACGAAAATGAAAATTGAATTATTGTACTAGAAAAGCAGGTTTAGCCCTGGTCGGTCTACCTCTTTTTCTTTTCTCACCGATCGGCATTGTCTTTGTCGCTGCTGGTGGTTTACAATATTTCAGACGAATAGCCGTACCAACAACCTGTCTGCATGTGTATTTCTTTAAAAAGCTGAACAGTTGCATTCTGATGTTTTCCAATTTAAACTGTGCTTCGTGTCCATACACCAAATATCAAATGATTTTTTGAATTGATTGAAAGTTGTCCATTTTTTCTTTATATATTTAATTAAATCTGTTTGTGTAATAGATTGTAAAATCAAGGATGGTATATAATATATTTTTGAAGCATCGTTTTGAATACAAATTATATCTTTTGTTGATTTTAACCCATTGATATGATAAAGCCCGTAATTCTAAAAATATTGTTGGTTCAACATAATTTTTTTGCTGTGCATACGTTGACAGGGCTGGGCAACTCCAACTCCGGAGTTGAGGAATTTTTTTAGTGGAGTTGAAGTTGAGATTTTAGTAAGCTGGAGTTGGGTTTTTGAACTTTTATTCTCAACTCCGTTTTGCATTGTTGGAAATATTCAATAGCCGTAAACTGATCTTCTAAACGATAGAGTGGCTGTATTCACGAGTGAATTCGGCAGTTCTTTGTGCTTTCCTGCCGGAAAAAAACTCAAAAACCAGAATCACGACCAGAATCCTGCTAAAAACCGAAAAATCTTCCTTACGAAAGTGAAGCAACCAGAGTGTTGAACTGGAGTTGAGATTTTTGTTGAGAGAGTTGGAGTTGAAAAATTTTGAACGGAGTTGGAGTTAGAGTTGGCAATGGAAATTTGAAAACGGAGTTGAGTTGGAGTGGAAAGTCAGCAGAATTGCCCAGCCCTGTACGTTGGCATATTTATTTATCTTGATTGACGTGCTCGAATAATTTGCTTTGGCTTCATTATAGGATTATTATATAATTCTTCTATCCACTTTTTAACATTTTCATCAATACCAAGAACTTTGTCATCATGATGATTGTACGCAGCTTCAGTTTTATAAACAGTAACTTTATCGCTATCTACATGATATAGCAGATGAATATTTGAGCTATACTGAGGTCCACGACGTTTGGCTTTGTTGCATCTGTGATAATCATTTTCCCCATCTTCTGTATTGATATGCAAAACTTTAAAGTAAGTTGTTTCATTTCAACATGTTATCATTGTAACGGTGCGAGAAAAATTGAATTTTATAATCATGCAAAAAAAAAGCACGTCACTATAAATTCGCCGATCACGTA